CGCCGCCCCGCTCACGGCCGGCCCTGGGCCCGTCTCGTGTCCCCGCGCAGCGTGACCATGGCGCCCGCCTTCCGCCTCTCGCTCAAGGCCAAAGTGAGCGATAACATGAGCCACTTGATGGTGGATTTCGCCCAGGAGCGGCGCCTGCTCCAGGCCCTCGCCTTCCTGCCAGGTATTAGGGGYGGGCGGCTGCGCGGGGTGCTGCCTCTGCCGGCATGGAGCGTGTTGGGGTGCAAGAGCCAAGGCGCAAGGGGCACGGGGGGTTGTGCCAGTTGTGCCAGCGGGCGGGAAGGGATGGGTGCCAGGAGGGTGGTCAGGGCTGGAGGGGCATTGGGAGCTCTGTTGGGGCTGGGGGGAGTGAGGGTGTCCGAGTCCTGCGGGCTCTGATGCCYCATCCGGAGGGACAGGGGGTGCTGGACAGGGATGGCTGCAGGGAGGCTGTGCCCAAGGGTACAGCGGGTGCCGTGTGGGGGCCCACGGGGCGCTCTGCCCACGGGATCCACACGGGCGCCATGTCCACGTGTTCCTGCGGGTGCCAGGCTGTCCCTGGGTCCCTGGGTGCCACTTTGGGGTGTCCCGCGGGAWGGGCGCCGGGGTGCCCGCGGGCGGCAGCGTCACGGCGGCTCCCGCGGGCAGTGCCCAGCACCCCCGAGATCGACCTGGCCGAGTCGCTGGTGGCCGACAACTGCGTGACGCTGGCCTGGCGCCTGCCCGACGGCGACAGCAAGATCGACCACTACGTGCTCGAGTATCGCAAGACCAACTTCGAGGGGCCGCCCCGCGCCAAGGAGGACCAGCCCTGGATGGTGATCGAGGGCATCAAGGGCACCGAGTACACCCTGTCTGGTGAGGGCATGGGGACACGCCGGCCGTGCAGCTTGAAGGTGGCAGTGGAGCTGGGCTGTCCCGGCGGGGGTGGCAGTGCCAGGCTTTGCGCAGGGCCTGGTGTCCCCCGTGCCCCCTGCGAGCCCTGCGGTGCCCACAGGGCTGAAGTTCGACATGAAGTACATGAATTTCCGGGTGCGGGCGTGCAACAAGGCCGTGGCGGGAGAGTTCTCTGAGCCGGTCACTTTGGAGACCAAAGGTGGGTGCTGGGGGTGCTCTTGGGCACTAGGGCTGACAGGGTGCTTGGCGGGGCACCCTGTGCCACCCCGTCCCAGCCGTGCCAGGGCCCTGCGCTGCCCGTGCCAGGCGGGGGACACGGGTGACGCGCTGACGGTGCCTGTCCCCAGCGTTCATGTTCCGGCTGGACGCCAGCACGTGCCACCAGAACCTGCGCGTGGAGGAGCTCAGCGTGGAGTGGGACGCCACGGGCGGCAAGGTGCAGGACGTGAAGGCGCGCGAGAAGGACGGCAAGGGCAGGACGGCCTCGCCAGCCAACTCGCCCGCCAGGTAACCCCGCCAGCCCCCGGGAGTGCCACCCCCCAGCAGTGCCAATCCCCAACTGATGCCACCCCCCTGGCAATGCCACCTCCTGGCAATGTCACCCCTTGGCAATGCCACGCACCTGGCAATGCCACCTCCGCAGCACTGCCACCCCCTGGCAATGCCAATCCCCAGCAATGTCCCCTCACCCCCAGCAATGCCCCCAGTAATGCCACCCCCCGGCAATGCCAGTCCCCAGCTGATGCCACCCTGCTGGCAATGTCAACCCCTGGCAATACCAGTTCCCCTGGCAATGTCACCCCCTGGCAATGCCAATCTTGAGCAATGTCCCCCCGCCCCCAGTAATGCCACCCCCAACAATGCCAGTCCCCAGCTGATGCCACCCGCTGGGTGCTGCCCCCCTGCCCGCAATGTGCCCCCCGCCTCACGGGTGCCTCTGTGTCCCAGGGTCGTGCAGTCGCCCAAGAGGATGCCCTCGGCGCGCGGGGGCAGAGACCGCTTCACCGCCGAGTCCTACACGGTCCTGGGTGAGCGCTGGGCGGGACCTTAGGGACACGGAGGCGTGGATGGGCACACGGGGGGACACAGAGGCGCCGAGGGGCAGGGTGCCTGAGGGGAGGGCGGCACGCAGAGAGGGTGCAGGAGAGGGGCCCCGTGGTGGCCGTGCCGCGGCAGCGCCCKCCGCCCGCAGGCGACACGCTCATCGACGCCGACGAGCACTACTGGGAGGTGCGCTACGACCGCGACAGCAAGGCCTTCGGCGTCGGGGTGGCCTACCGCAGCCTGGGCAAGTTCGACCAGCTGGGCAAGACCTCGGCCTCCTGGTGCCTGCACCTCAACAACTGGCTGCAGGTCAGCTTCAGCGCCAAGCACGCCAACAAGGCCAAGGCGCTGGACGTGCCCGTGCCCGACTGCATCGGCGTCTACTGCAATTTCCACGAAGGTGGGCGCAGGGGCGGGCACGGCGCGGGCACGCGGGCTGCCCGCGGGGACGCGGCGCCGCGCGCTCACGCTGCCGGCCCTGCCCGCAGGGTTCCTGTCCTTCTACAACGCCAGGACCAAGCAGCTGCTGCACACGTTCAAGGCCAAGTTCACGCAGCCGGTGCTGCCCGCCTTCATGGTACGCAGGGTGCGGGCGCGGGCCGCGGGGCGCGCGGCGCCGTGCCCAGCGCTCTGTGTGCCCTGCAGGTGTGGTGCGGCAGCTTCCACGTCTCGTCGGGCCTGCAGGTGCCCAGCGCCGTGCGGTGCCTCCAGAAGCGGAACAGCACGGCCAGCAGCTCCAACGCCAGCCTGGCCTAGCACCCGGTGGCACCCCGGGCACCCTGGGCTGAATGTAGCGGCCCCCGCCCCGCGCGTGGCACCCATGGGGGCTGTGCGCGCGCGCGGGGCGCCGGGGATGGCACCTGCATCGCTCCCCCCATCCCACCCCCCGGCACCCACCCTGCCACGGGCACCCGGCTGGTGCTGCCCCCTCACTCGACAGCTGCTTCTGGCCTTAAGAATAAATTGGGCTCTAGGTGTGACTCGGCCCTGCTGCCACGTGCGGGGCTGGCGCTGCGGGTGGCACCTGCCCCAGGCGGACAAGGGGGTGGTTTTTTGGGGAATTAGGGGTTAGTTCCCGCTGGGCACTGTGCCCATGAGCCCAGGGAGGCGGCGCGGGGCTGCGTTTGCACCAGAGGTCCTGGCTCTTGGGGTGCGGGTCTCAGCTGTCCCTGCCCCAGAGCTCAGCCACGTGCTGGGGTCCCTGTGCCCCCCATCCCTCACGAGTGACTCCACCGCGATGTCGCGGCCCTGTCCCCCACCGGGCACCTTGTGCTTCAGCAGCGCCAGCAGGTGCCATGGKGGGGGTGGGACATCAGCAAGGGGTCCTGCCACCCCCCTGCGTGGGGACCTGGAGCCCCCCCTCGCACACTGAGCCTTCCCCCCGCCCGCTGAGCAGCTGGCACTCGGGACATTGGGGACACCAGGGACACGGGGACCGCTGGGGACACTGGCACGCGAAACCCAGTTCCCAGCGGCAGCTGCTGGGCCTCGGGGTGCGACACCCCCGGGAAGGAGCGGGCGCCCGGGGTGACGGAGCCGCCGTGTCACCCCCCCGCCGGGGACAGTGTCACTGCCGGTCCCCCGGCAGCTCCGCGGGCACCCGCGGGAGGGCACGAGGTGCTGGGAGCCCCCGGGGACCGGGGAGCCGGCCCGGAGCCTCCGGGAGCCCCGCGGGGCRGCGGGGGCTGCCGCGGCACCGGGAGGGCGACACGGGCACGGCGGCATTGCCGGTACCGGGGGCGGTACCGCGGTCGGTACGGGGGGGGCGGCGCCCACCTCGTGCCGCGGCCCCCGCTTCTCCACGGAG